GCCAAGAGACAATTCCGAATTTGTCTAAATCGCTAAAATCAGATCAGCGGATCTTGAGTTATAATCGTGGTAATTAACACAACTTTCTTTTATATAAGATGTTTTATTTATAGCCTGTTCACAGAACTTTTGTTTAAGGCAGACAAACATTTGCTACCCTGAAAATCAAGTTTTATTTCAGTTCATTTACTTTTTTCGTCTGGGGGTAAAAGCTAATTTTACCCATTGCCCTACTGTCAAAAAATTGTTTAGGTTTACAAAAAGAAAATTTGTTTATTTATTTATTTTTTTAAATTATTACGTCCGTTAGTTTTAGACGTGGCGTGTCGGTGCCCGGATATAATCCTCACGGACATAAACCCCATTGCAATTATGGGGATTATGCCGGGTTTGTTTTTGGTCATAATCTCCATAACAATGTGAGGAATGTGGCTGCTTCCAACACAGACACAACCACCAGGGGGAGTATGACCGTTTGCTGTGTGGACCACTTACAAAAATAATTAATTTTAGAAATATTTTATTCGCGGTAGCCGGTGCAGGACACGCTCAGAGGAGAAGATCTCAAGCCCCGGTTTAAGGCCGGCTACTTGCAAGAATTATGAAATTTTGGTGCAGGAAAATTTTTTTGGGCAATTTTTTGGAAATTGACGGACATAACGCCCATAATAACGGGTATGCCCAAAGACTTTCCCTCTGGATATGTTTGGCACCGGCTATCGCGAAACAAAGATGTCTAAAATTAATTATTTTTGTAGGTAGTCCACACAGCAAACGATCATACTTTATTATTTGGATTATGGGGATTATCACCGAAAAAAAGGTCATAATCCCCATAATTGCAATGGGGATTGAGACCGTGGGGATTATGTCCGGGTTCAGGTTTTTGATTTTCTATTTCAAATAAAAGTGTAAATGGGGATGGCGGAAATATCAACCTAATCCGCCAAACGTTAGGTGATGCCACAAACCTCGAAATATTAGTCTAAGACTCACGATTTTACATATGTATCTACCTATATCTTCGAGCTTGGTCGATTTAGCTATGTGTGTCCCTCTGTCACTTTTTTATTTGTAGTCACGCAAACGCACGGGTTAGAGTTGAGACCAGAGAAGAAGCGCACCTATTGGGATCGACACAGCACAGCGGATGAAATGGACCATACCTTTTGTGTGAAATATCAATTTCCAAACACAATATTTTACTTTGCTCAAATTTTTTGAATGAACGATTGATACTTTGGCATTTCGTTTTGTTTGTGTCAAAGACATAAAGCAAAGACATAGAAGTGTAAAGATAGGACAAGACAGAGTCAAATTATGGTGACCCTGTGAAAATACCTCTGTTGTTACGATAACATAACAACATAGTTACCAATGATAACTGATTTAAACCGCTAAGGCAATATGCAAATTTACGGAAAGGTCTATGTAAGAGAATTTTATAAGTAAAATGTTGGAATTTTCAAATTTGTATTTCTTATCCGTTTCTTTAATTGTGGTTTTTATATTAACATGTCTCTGCGACGAGCTGTTATATATATAGTATAGACACAAACCATTTGCTCAGAATGCATTTTGTCTAGTCTTTACCATTTTAGGTCTTTGCATAAAGTGGTAAAGACTAGACAAATTGCATTCCGAGCTAATGGTTTGTGTCTATACCATTTAGATAACAGCTCATGACATTTCCATGTTAATATAAAAAACACATTTATTGAATAAAATAACAAAGAAAATTTGAAAATTTTAAAAATTAGGTTTCACAATTCTATTCCACAGACTTTCCCACTTAATTGTATATTTTCTAAGCGGTTTAAATCGCAAAACATGGTTAACTATGTTGTTACGATATCATAACAACAGAGGTATTTTCACAGGGTTGCCATATCTTGAGTCTGTCTTGTCCCATCTTTACACTTTTATGTCTTTGTTTGTGTTGGAGTTAGGTGAACCAAAGTTTGCCTATAGAAAAAAGCTATTTTTATTTATTTACGTACGGAAACCAAAAATTCTATTTGTCTGCCATTTGTCTTACAACTGGAAGAAAATAGGTTTGGTGAACAGGCTATTAATGTTCCGAAATTTCGAAACAGTAATTTATTTCTTGCCAATTCTCATATGAACGCCAATACTTCAGAATATCATTTTGACGCAAAACATTGGATTATATGTATGTATCGTTCGACTTTTATCAAACAAATTTTAAAAGTATGCAAAAATCCAATGTCTATGATGACATATTTGTTGGGTTGAATTCCTATCTCACGGAACCTGCTGCCATCTTCCAAGCAGGTAATATGAAAATATCCTACATTAAATTAAAGGCCACTAGTGATAGATCGGTCTACGGTTAGCTATGCGACTCCAATCTTCGAATAATATTGCAAAACAAACCTGCTAGAATGCCACCTCGACAACTGCAACAGATTGCCTCCGTATGACACAAGTGGGCCATTTATATAAAGATACGATGGTTCTTCTCTTCGTCATCATAATCACATTCTACCGTTGCAGTACCTGCTTGGCTGTTATCGTAGGAGATATGCAATCCATTATATGGTGGATAGAACTCCCCCACCCTACACGACATAGAGAGGGAGCTTCAACGATACACACTGATACAGTCACGGATGTTGTAGACCATTACAGACAGTATGAATGCCGCTCTAGGAGTTCTTTTTATACCTTCCACCATACATAGTATGGAGGATATATTAAGTTCGTCATTCCATTTGTAACTCATCGAAATAATCATTTTAGACATAACAAAGTATATATATTCTTGATCAGCGTAAAATTCAAAGACGATTTAGCCCTGTCCGTCTGTTGTAATCACGCTAGAGTCAAAACGATATAGATAGGAAGCCAAAATTTTACACAGATCAGTCTTTTGTCTGCAGGCAGTTCAAGTTCGAAAATAGTCCACTATATCGTGTAGCTCCCATACAACGGTACCTTCCGATATTCAGTATTTTGATGATTTTAGCCACATTTTCCAATGGAATTGTCTGATAATAAACAAAAGGAGTTCTTTTTTGAGTACTTTACCGTCCGGAAGAGAATTGTCCATATATAGCCCCCTTACAACGGTACCCCCGATATTCGGTATTTTGATGATTTTAGCCACATTTTCCAATGGAATTGTCTAAAAATAAACAAAATGAGTTCTTTTTTGAGTACTTTACCGTACGGAAGAGAATTGTCCCCCCTTACAACGGTACCCCCGATATTCGGTATTTTTTTGATTTTAGCCAAATTGTTCAATACAATTGTCTGACAATCAACATAAGGATTTCCTTCTGAGTGTTTTATCCCTGGAAGATTATTGTCGATATAGGTCCTCGATTTCGTTTATCCCCAATATAACGGTATTTTTATGATTTTATTAGTGGAATTGTCTAAAAATTCCAAATTCGTTCCAAATGGTGGAGGATATTCAAAGTTCGGACCGGCCAGTTATGAACTTCCGTATACATTCCTTATGTTTCGTGCACAGCAACAGAGCTGGTACTATAAAGTTAAATCACGAATAGTTTTCAAGGGTAGTCTACTTGTCCGACCTTATGTAGGCCTTGATTTTTATACTCCACGCCACACTGTTGTACGGGGTGTTCTGTCTTTGTGCATTTGTTTGCAACATACAGAAGCAAGTCAAATAAAGGATGTTTTCCCAAAAGCTTGCTGATTTGAAAATTAAATAAAACACATGCCAACTTATGAAATGGCCAAAACAATTTATTATTTGAAATATAAGTATATTCTTCCGATTTATATTTTATTGGTGCGCCATATGTGTAATCTTCCTTCAAATGGAATGGATTTCGTCGATCCAATTCAATCCCGATGCAAGTACTTCTTATTGGTGAAAATCGGTTCAGATATAACTATAGCTCCGATATATATGTTTCATCCGATCGGTATTTAGTCCATCACATTCGTAATATGCACTCCACAACAATGATATTTAGAAACAGATATCAGATACATTTCAGAAATACATACAAGATCAGGTTCAGGTTCAGATTTAGATTTTTCCCCCTATATATCTTTATCCGATTTGACGTTTATTGTGCATAAAATTGTAAATATCGGCCCAAATGGGGCAGATTTTACACATCCGACCGAATTTAGTTTAGAAGCAAATACTTTAAAGTTAGCAAGAGTCGGTTAAGATATAGCAATACCTCACATATATGTATTTCATCCGATTTGGGGTTAAGGTCCACCACAATCGTAATATACACTTCACTAGAATGATATTTTGTATCAGATAGCATATACAGCTGATACCAATACCTCAGCCAAATTTTATCGAGATCGGTCAGACATAGTTACAACTTTCATATATTTATTTATTCCTATTTATTTATTGACGGTTATTGTGCATCAAGTATTTAAGATTAGCACTTATTGGATGGGTGTTTGCACATTCAACTGAAGTAAAAACGACATTTGGGGAAAATCGGTTCCCATATATTTATTGATTCGACATATATTTTCATGCCCTTCACCTGTCATTCCGTTTGTAACCTCCCTAATTATTCGTCGTAGACTCCATAAAGTACACATATTCTTGATCAGCATAAGTCGATTTAACAATGTCCGTTGTTTACTTGTTTAATATAATGCTTTTCGAAGTCAGTCAGAGTTGGATATACACCCCATATATTAGTTCCACACTCAAAACAGGTTCATAATTGGTTCCACTTCATTAATTCCTTAGACAAATGTTTATTTATGTACTAAATATGCTTCCCGACAATTGACCTTCCTTCATTGGTTATTAAAAGAAATGTGCTTCGACAGCAAAGGAAGGATGCCTAACCCTGTAAATACACTTTAATATTATTCATTTAAAATGTTCCCTGAAGACAAATATTTGAATTAGAACTGCTACGGCTTACACGTCAGTCTTCGACCGAACGTCATAGGGCATCATAATCAACGTTGCACTCTGGAAGCCGCACGCGATTTTAATTGCTTTTCGATATTTTCAGAAACAAAGAAATACTTTTTAAACATTCAATGATAACGTCTCCAAATATAACAACGGAACAGTATGAAGGTGTTATAGCTGGCCTGAACATGACCGATCCCAAATTGGGACTTAGCATCTGCAGTTTGTCCAAAGAATTGGATAACGTGAGTAACATTGCGTTTGATAAATGTGAATGAATATATTTATTAAAATTTTATTGTGTTTTTCAGGCGGCCGAAGGAACGGGTTTGGCTTTCATTGTCTTTACACAGGCCATTGTCGAATTGCCAGGAGCGCCATTCTGGGCAGTTCTATTCTTCACAATGCTGTTATCGCTGGGCCTGGGCTCCCAGATCGGTATACTTGAGGGCATGCTGTGCACGTTGTTCGACATCGACATCATCAAGCGGGTTAAGAAACAACATGTAACTGGAGTGGTGTGTCTATTCTGCTTCATTGTCGGTTTCATCTTCTGTACAGGTGCTGGCGAGTATTGGCTTAAGATGTTTGACTCGTTTGCCGGTACCATTGGCCTTGTCGTGGTTGCTCTTATGGAAATGATTGCCGTTGTCTATATCTACGGACATGAGAGGTCTGCAAACGATCCGATGACGTGTCCAGCATGTATTGTGAATGTCTTTCTTTTTAGATTTACTGAGGATATTTATCAGATGACTGGTTACCGTCCCGGTTGGTATTGGCAGTTGACATGGCGTTTTATTGGGCCTGTGATTATGGTTGCCATTCTCGCCTCATCTATTGTATTCATGATCATCAAGAATCCTACCTATGGTGCCTGGAATGGTGAAACGGTAAGTTAGCTAGGGCACAGATTGGGCAAATATTGACTTTTCAATTTTACGTACAAAACAAAAGGGATCGGTTGAACCTAAGGATTACCCACCATGGGTGATGGGCATTGCATTAGCCATGATCTTAGCAGGTGTGTTGCCAATGCCTATAGTGTTCTTGATGCGAAGCTTCCAATGCCTCAAAGTGGATTTGGACATTCATCAAGGTTCGATAAGAAGAAATGAGACAACCGCCTCAACCAAAGAGATGATCGACAATGACGACGATGTAAGTACTGGAATATATCTCAATCTAAAGTTCACCCAACCCAAGGGTTGTTATACATACATGCACCTCTACATTAATACACCAATTCCCCTGTCCCTGTCGGGGTAGGTTATATTATTCAATGGGCTAACTCTGGCTATCACATGTACATAAGTATGAAGCTATGTACTTGCGTATATAACCATTTTTATATTGTCAATTTGTGTTTTAACAATTGTTCACATAAACATACAGAACGTCCCCATTAACATAGGGCCTATATTCGACAGCACATCATTGTATTATTTGTATTCACATTAATGTTTCATTTTCGTTTAATTCCTTCCCAAAATTGCTTCCGTTTCAATAAAACTGATCGACTCACCAAAAACAAAACAAAAAAAAAAAAACCACTAACAAACAGATTGTGAGTCCGGATATGCCACCACAAGATTCATTAGCGGCGACACGTTTCACAATTGGAGATTTTGAAGTAAGTTTCAGGTAGAAAGTTTTGCATCCATGACAACACATCAATGAAATCAATGCAATGTCTAAATCGGATCAAATCATTTTTGAGGGAAGGGAACTACATTCCCTTAACCAACTTACATATGTAGAAGTAAAGAACTACATTCCCTTAACCAACTTACATATGTAGAAGTAAAGAGTGAGAGAGATAGACAGGAGCTTCTTAATTTAAATTACAAATTTTGGCTTGAGAGACGTCGGTATCTGTTGTTAACATGTATGTTTGTTATTATTGTCCTATTACAATTTAAACAAAAGCAATGTATCTGCACCATAAAAACAATTTTATTATTTTCCCATTTATTGTTTTCTTAAAATAATTAAAAATTCTAATATTTTTCTTGACATCATATCTAGAATCTCGGCAGCGTTGATATATTGTATCTTCTAGATGTAGAATAACTTCAGTTTGATTTCGGGCATAGGCACATGATACATGTACCAATTCCCTCAAAATTATTGTACACCAAATGCATATTATCTGACCAAATAGAATAGATATTGGCACCTACGAACGAATTCCGACTATAATTAAGTTAAAGTAATATATATCTATAACCAAGATATTCGATACAATATATCAGAAATATGTTTGCCAAGTTTTGTCGCAATCGGTTCAGATTTAGATATAACTCCCATGCAATCCATCCATCCAACTTGATGTAAATAATACACCAGCGGTGATAATCCTGTCTAATAGAGTTGAATTTTCAATCAAACCATCACGAATATATATATATATATATGTATATATATTCGTGATGGTTTGCTTGAAAATTCAACTCTATTAGACAGGAGTATATATGTATCTATTTACATATATGTACCTATTTTATATCTATGCCTTTATATCTATGCCTTCTCAAAGTTATAATAAACATTCAATATCTGTTACGAGAGGTCACATACAGGTGAAAAAGATACCTCCGTCAATCTTAAGATTTAATTCCTATTGGTTACTTCCATCCGATTTCAGGGTTTAATCGCTCTAAAACCGTATTATACTTTCAATGACGATCATATTGGGTATGATTTACTTCACACAAATTACATTACTTACAGCATTACATATTGCAGCTAGAATTGCCTAATTTCTACGGGTTTCATTGTGTATTCTTAACGGGTTTCATTGTGTATTCTAAACAAGATAATTCTAGTTATAATAATTCAAAAAATACCAAATAAGGATACAAAATACACTATATTCACGTATTATCTAACTACTGTCACAGACGCACACTGCTTTTGACAGTAGCGTAGTAGGAACACAAAGAAAAAAGAATATATTTCCAAATGAAATCATGCTTTCGCGAAACGCTTTGGTTATATTCTCCATTCTATACTATGATTATATTCTCTATTCACTATGTAAGATTTGAGCGAAAAGACATTGTATTGTTTTCATTCACATAGTGTACTTGCGAAAAATACTAAAATATCATTTTTATATTTCTCTTCTAAATTTCTATATTGTCTTATTTCAAGCAGAACTAAAGATCCCCAAATTTGAAATATTTAAAATCAATTCTTACCCATATGACTCCACCTCCGAGTAATAAACGGAAGATTAGCGCTTAGAACTCAAAGGATATCCGTAATATATTTTTTCCTGTTTTGTTTCTGTTTTTATGAGCATAAATACTAGTTACCTTTTCCACCAAAAAAGACTACCCATAATTCACACAAACCCCTAAACATAGACATAATAACATTGAGCCAGCGACATAGAGTTTGAAATATCACCTGGCTAACTGGCATTTAACATTCGTCCACCTTCTTCGATTGGAAACAATGGGCCATATAATGTGCCTCCTATGATTATGAAAGATCCGTGAGAAATTATTTCCAAAAAGAACAATGCGACTGAAGAAGGAAAATCACCATTTGCGTGCGCTTGAAGAAATCCATCGACATCTGACAAATACATCTCAATACAAGATCGTTTTGATTCAAATGCACAAATCCTACAACGATCCGGATCCACGCCCAACCCCACAAGCACATCCTTTGAATGAAGAGTATGTAGTTTTAATATTAACGCTGATATTATCCAACAACAAAATAACTTCTAAACAACTATTCACATTGAAGGCCTCTGCTGAAAGCTCAAAAATGAACACATGTTCAATATTTTATATAAGAAAAAGCTAAAAATTAATACGAATATTATACCATTATAACACCCATACCCATACCCATACCCTCATTAACATTCATGTAATGCGATCACATTTGGCTAACCCTCGTTGTCCTCGTAATATTATTAACACAAATTATGCTACGATAACCTCGAATCATGAACCGCTAAGTTTTCATGCTCATGGTAATGGGTACGAAAAAGGAAACCATACATAATTTCCACCCAACAACACGCCTCATGTATGGACCTGGAAACCGTTCGCTTGGCATTGCACAAAAAACGCAGGCAATAGTCATCTCGAGAGGTAAATATAATATGAAAATCATTCAATAGAAGAGCATGCTTAAAATTTCACAAAAATAGATATACGCAGACATACTCCATTTAGATTTTATTTTTGTTTATAAAATTGAAACGAGAGATGCAATACATTATTCTGTGCAATAATATTCAGTCCGATGACTGGCGTCCAAAAACATAAAAAAGAAATTGCAATTTTCAAGGATTTTTTTAAATAACATAATTAAAATAGTTTTATTTATGTTTTCATTTTATTTATGACCTTATCTTTGCGATTTATTATTATTTATTATTCTAAATTATGTATTTATCTAAAAACGATTTATTTTGCCCAACAATTCAAAGATGTAAAAATCCGACAATTTTTCCTCCTGATCCTATATATTTTAAGACCATGTGCATATCTTTTTTCTAATGAAACATAAATCAACTATACAAGGATGATTGCAGGAGGATATTTCCTCATAACAATTCGATATTATTGATTAACAATTACTATTTTATTTATGGCAGTCGCCCAAATATGTACAACATTTACTAAATCAACATTTTGTTCAAGATGGTTTCACAGATCTCTGAAAATACTCCAAAAATTCAGTAAAATGAAATTCGTTTTTCAACTTGATGCAGAATTCTCCACTTTCGAAATACAATATGCGTTTTTTCGATGTTTTTTCTTTTTCAAAATCGTGTATGTTATTCACTTATAAACAAATAAAATTTCTATCCTTGCTTACGTATTTGATTACTTATTGTTTGTCAGAATATGGCCTGTTCTCCTCGTGCATCGAACATTCTCGAATTTCAAAATACCATCGAAAGCAAAAGGCTTACAGAAATAACCTTCACCGGTTTTCTCCATATCATCAAAATAGTGTATGTTTTAGCCCTATAAGGGAATTACGTTTGTATCCTTATTCACTGACAATTTGGTCCCAAGTTAATTATATTCATAATATAAATAAATCGAGAAATCGATTTGTAAAATATCGTTATTGATTGCCTGAAATTGTTGTGTAAAATTCCATTTAGTGTCCCAGGAAGCTATGTTCTCAGTCTTGGAGGCTAATTGGGAGTCGGAATATTGCAAAATAAATATGTATTAAATTACCCTTTAAAAAAGCAATAAATTACTGCAATTTTTTTCTTCATTAATAAATAGTACCGATTTAAACCGATGGTTTAAAGATTTCGGGATTTAACGAGTTTCAAAGAAAGATACCTTGAGTACCTGAACACTGTGAAAACATTTGTACTCGATATAACGAACAAACCCCAAAATTAGGGTAGATTACTGAATGTGCGAGGCGATGTTGATGTTAATGTGTACTCAGCGACGAAAAAAAAAACAATAAGTTTGAATTGAGCGAGAACATTTTTTTAAAGGCCAATGATATAGAAAAAAGGGGATTCCCACGATGTTGTCTTTTGTTTGATGCTGGGACTAATATTAATGCTGAAGAGGCGATACAAAAAACACCACATGTTCCTAAAATGAAAAAAAAGAAAATTTTTTTCGTTGAAGTCATTGAAAATAGAATTGTTTTAACGGATGTCAATAAAGTTTACATTATTCTTTACAACTACAATTCCAAGCAAGATCTCAATAAAAATGCATACCAATTACATTTACTTTATTGTTGAGTTGGTCTTAAATTAAATGCATAATAAAGGAATTGTCCAAATCAAATATTGCTATTGATATTTCAATAGGTTTTGAGTAAACAAGCCTTATTATAAATAATACTCGGTTTAATAAATTTTTCAATTTAACGGACAAAGCTGACATCGAAGAACTAGTGTACATTAATATTTAAATAATTTGTTGTTCATTAACTGCACAATAATCTTCGTCTTCAAACAGATTTCCAATTCTTGTGTCTCTGGAGTTACTTTTTGCCCAGAAAACACCACAATTTTCGCTGTTGTGAAAAAAATCTCACATTGAATGCACTAATGTTTTGTTATGCCTTTATTTATTTGGTTGTCTTTTATAGTAGACACGCTTTTTATAATAAGTGTTTTCTTATATAACATTCAATATCGTATATATGTTTCAATATCATGTCTTTAGTTTTCAAATTTGCCAATTTTATTTTCGAATTAATCGTAATTATCGAAAAATAACTGGTATTAATGTGGATTATATGAAATCGAAGATGATCCAGGATGTGCATCCGATTTGTACATCAAATCGAATACTATGTGTTTAGCGTACTTATGTCTTACAAATCTTAGCATTTACGCTCGTTGCTTCTTAAAATATTTATATGTATTCCTGTAAATATTTATTAAATAAAGGAAAAAAAATGTATTTCAATATTTCCCACATGGTACTGACCTGGTATTTGTTTGGTTTTTCATGTATTGTAAATCGACGTTGCAGGTTAATGCATAACTCATTTACTAATAATTCAATTTTAGACACACATTAAATTTATATTTTTCAGTTTTGGTTTTGCTGATATCATCATTAATGTTGTTTTGAGTACTAACGTTCAAATTTCATAATCATAAATGCTATGTATGTATATATTGCGCCATCAAAAGTTTGTTGCAAATAAACAAATCAATTAATTTATTTTGTTATTAATAATTACATAAATGCTAATAATGTTCAACACTTTTTTATAGGACGACGAGGATGATTTTAGTGGTCCTGCTTTGGGGGGACATGTTAAAACGCACAGCGATGCCTCGGACGACGAAGACGATAGGCCGGTTACAATGCGTAGTGCTATGATGCGAGTTACCGGAAATCACCTAGATGTGCCAACGAACCGAAAGCCGTTCAAAATGGAAGTTTTCGACTTGTAAATGCCTGTCCAATAGCTGCGGTAGATTTTGTTTTGTCACTTTGCCCACAAACTCGAACTTAATTTTTATTGGACCGAAGTAGCAGCATCATCCGGCAACATTCACAGCACTCGAACATTCTATCATACAGACATTACACAAGTACATATATACATATGTGTGAAAACCAAATTCAGATATAAATTATATTAATAGTTTAGCTACTAAGTGAAGAGGATACGTGCCGCCGAATGGCATTCGTCCTTGTAAATGAACTAACGAGAACAACTAATTGAAATTAAAAGTATTTGTAAAGTACCGAATTATGTAGAATAGTCTAGGAGTAGTAAGAACTAGGTCTAAGATTACAAAACGAAACTAAGACGACGACACATTTATTTGACAGCTAAATTTTGTTCTTCATACCGACCTCAATGCACACCTAAATATTACTTACAAGTTATATACTACTTATTACAAATGGCAGTAACAGTGTTTGCTATTAATTTGTTGTTATTGTTTATTTTTGTCAGTCACTTTCTACACAAAGCCAAAATCTAGCTTCTTAATGAATATAGAATACCTTTCCACAGAGTTAAACTCGACATATTCTAGAGGTGTGGTTATGTTACTTTTTAGCTGATTGTCAGGAGATAATTTCACCTAAAATCAAAAAAAAAAAAAAAAAAAAAAAAGATTACATAAACATACCACACATGCACACACAAACACACACACCAATGTACTCCATATTCCATAGTTTACTTTCGATTACCAAATTTATTAAATGTTTTGTTCCCTTTTCAATGAACGAAATCAAATGAATATTCCAAATAGACAAGTGTGTTCAATAGAATTTTATTCAAACTTAAAATTTAAAATTTAATCGTTTCAAAAATCGTCTACCATAGGAAGATTCTAGCATTTTCCGAGATTGGATTATTTTAATAAATAAAATGTAATTGATGTACATATCTTCATATCTTTCTAAAGGGAATGAAAGAGACACGATGCACGTAGAAGTTTATTTAAATTACATTCTGAATATTTCTTTTCACATTTTTTTAGAACATTTTTAACCTTTCTGTGAACACTACTTAAAGCACGTTTCAGACGCATATGATTGACGAAATGTCAATGAGAATAAATGGAAATCTATCGCTTCGCACTTGTCTATTTTAAAAATAATAAAGTATTTCGTATGACAAAAACTGCTGTGAATAGGTTATAGTGGTTGTAATTTAATGAAAATACATCTTTAGTAGTTTTAAGTAAATACACAAATACATACCAAACACAACCTACCAACACGTATTGTATTGATCTTGGTTTATCCGAAACGCAACAGCAAGAACAATTAATTAAAAAAAAAAAATAAGTTTATGATTAAATTATTCACACAGGAGAACATTGATTGACTTTGGACGATTTTTAATGAGACAATAAACGATTATTCATTATCGAGTGCGAGGAGTAAACATTTTTTATCGATTAAAGAACACAATGAAACATAGCTGAACAAATCTGTATTAGACCCTCACACACACACACACACACCCAATGACACACATAAGATGTTCGCATTAAAAATCTTCATCAGTTCTCATTGTCATTCTCATTTGAAAGTTTCATGCAGCCCAAGTTTTGGATATCAATTCAAATGCCAGAAAAATATTGCAAATATAATTTTAAAACAAAAGTACCTATTTTGGTTTTTTAAAAATAGATTTAAACGCATTGACAGAATTCACCCGGAAAATGGTGGACGCACTGTTGGGCAAACCTATTTAGATCTAAGTTATTCTAATTGTAGTCGAGGCTATTTTATGATATTAACAACAAAATCAACAACAATTAATATATATCTACTCTCAATAACCAAAAAAAAAAAAAAAAAAAGAAAATTGTTCGTTTTTAATTTTGATCCAAATAAAACCAAACAACAAACTATAAATTGAGTTTAATTTTATCTGTGACGTATCTATCTATATTAACAAGTAAAAAAGCTGGCAATTTTCAAAAAAAAAAAAAAGCGTTACGAACGTCAAATACCAAATTTGAAAACATTCCGGCGAATAATGTTGCTAAAATCATCAAAATACCGAATATCTGGAGATACCGTTATATGGAGGCTATACGAAGTCGTGGACCTGCACAGACAATCTCCTGTCATATGCTGTAATATCCATTACGAACTTCAAATACCAAATTTGAAACAATTCCGGTGAATAATGTCTCTAAAATATACCGAATATAGGGAGGTACTGTTATTTAGGGCTATACCAAAATGTTGGACACAGTTTCAATACCAAAAGTCCTGCAGGAATAATATACACTTGAGCAAAATTGTAAAAAATCTACTTCATTTCGTTCGGAAGCTAGAGTGATTTCCACAGACAGATAGACTGGCGGACATCGCTAAATCGACATAGAATTTTATGCTGATCAAAATATTTACTTTGTGGGTCTAAAATGTATATTTCGAGGTGTTACAAACGGAATGACAAACTTAATATACCCTCCATTCCATGGTGGAGGGTATAATAAAACAGTAAAGTAATTGACTGATTGACTGACTTAACAATTCATCAACGCCCAGACAAAACGGTTAAGTGTAAAAACTGTAGTAAATGGCACTACATTTTGTATAGATTGTAAAAAATATATAGAGTAGGAAAATGAGAGAGAATTATGGATTTCGGTATTAAGATCACTCTTCCCACTAATCTACCACACGCCTTCCCCACTCCTAACCCTATCTACCACACCTCTCCTCCCTCAATCTTCCCCTCAAAATTCTATACATTCATTAGCCTATATTTTTGCTCCCGAGTTAAAAAGGGTTAAATTGTTACAGCCTGATAGTATGCTCTGAAATCTAAATAAAACGAAATGCAACCGAATTTTTGAAATCACAGCTCGTGGAATTGTAGAGCATTTCTATACAAAATTTTATTCAGGTCACCTCACATTATCAGAATTTATTGCTTAATCCGGGTCAATTCAACCAGATTTACAATACAATAAATAAAAAAAAAAAACATTAAGTTCGGTTGGGCCGTAAAAAAAAAACATTTATAAACAAAAGTATTTGAATTTAATATTCGAACGCAAATACCAGTGAGATGGGTTGCAGAATGCAGTAAACGTTTTCAAAATACAATAAAGTGGTTGAAACTATGATATGGGGCCATACCAAAATAGGAATCTGTGAAGATAATTTTCTACTGCAAGGATTTTTATCTATTGCGAGTCTTAAAACAAAATTTGAAACAATTCCGTGGAAAATGTCGCTGGGATCATCAAAATTCCGAACATCGATGGGCACCGTTATAAACAATGTTTTGTTACGGAATCCCTTCTCAATATATTTTCAGCGCTGTTACTCCATAGGTTGCTGCATTGTGTTTGGGTAACTCCTCCAATGTATAATATTAAGTCCTGCTTCGACCAGCATTCTTTTTTATCGATATAACGACAATTAATGAAAGAGTAAAGTAATTGACTCACTGATTGATTGGCGACGCGCAGACGAAACAGCTGAAGCGAGAATCACTCTTGGTCCGAATGGGTCAGATAAGGCTGGGTTTTTGGAAATTCGTACTAAAACGGAGTGAAAAGTAATAAAAGGTACTAAAGTACATTTTGTATTCGACGCAGCAGTGGGACTAGATCTCTTAAATTTAGAATGAGGTTCGCTGATGGAGTATATGATAGATGTACCAAAAGGTTTTTGGAAATTGTTATGGAAATTTGTACTTATGTGTACTATATAGGATTAGGTTATTCAGGAACATTGGGAAATGTGTACAAAATGGTACTAAATTTGGTACAATAGAATTTTGAATGAGTATTAGAAGAGTACAAAAGGCAATAAATGGTACACAATTTAGTATTGATTGTACGGATAGATTTAGATTTCTCAATTTTGGTGTCAGTCTCTCTGTGACAGTCATTCTGTGCAGACGTACTTTTTGTGCTAGCAAGACCATTGTATTTTTTTTTTCCTCAAAAGTTTAAACATTGCATTTTATCACCAGACTGTTTATTGAAACGGTGAATGGTAAATATTACCAACAAATTTAAACCTTTTTTTCGAAACCCGAACAAACGGACACATTCTACAACAACTCCACGTACCCACACTCAACTGCTGAACCAGCAGCATGAGTGTTGGCAACAACAAAACCACAAGTGCTGGTACCTCCAGCACTAACCATGTAAGAGACCTCGATTGGCAGGTAGTAAAATCCAATAAACGTCGAAGCGAAGATTCCCCAAATCGCAACAACACAAAACGTTTTGCATTAAATGACTGTCCATCAACAAGTGCAAATAAGTATCATCTACCTTTGAACAATGATGTTGAAGAAACACAAGAGATAGAAGAAGTCGCTGAACCCAAACCACCACCTGTAATCATACCTGATGTTGCTGATATAAAAAAAATGTTAGAGGATATTTCAACGATTATTATGCCTCAAGAATTTACATACAAATCAGTGAAGAATGGTCACGTAAGACTAATGATAAAATCCACAAGCGCCTATCGAACTGTTGTCAAATATTTAGACATAAAAAAGAAAATGTTTCATACTTATCAGTTGAAACAAGAAAGAGCATATAGAGTCGTTGTTAAGAATTTGCATCATACAACACCCCCACATGAAATTAAGACTGCTATTGAGAAGGAAGGTCATAACGTGAGGAATGTCATGAATGTAAGAAGCAGAATTAGCAAACAGCCAATGTCAATTTTCTTTGTGGATTTGGAACCAAAAGCTAACAATTCTGATGTTTATAAAATGAAATACATAGGCAATGCAGTAACAAAAATCGAAGCCCCTTTGAAATCGAATGACATTGTACAATGTCAGAGATGCCAAGGACATGGCCACACAAGAAAATACTGCAGATACACTCCTTTTTGCGTTAAATGTGGTCTTAATCACCTAAGTAGTGAATGTAAAAAAGATAAGAAAGATCCACCTAAATGCGTAAATTGCCAAGGTGAACATCCAGCAAACTACCGAGGTTGTACTGCTTACAAATCACTCCTGCAATTGAGATCTCAACAGAAACGTCAAAATATTCGCCCTGTTATCGACCGGGAAATATTAAGAAATCCCAATGAAGACTGCAACGAATCTTCCCCAAACTCCTATGCAGGCATTCTGAAAAATAACGAGCAAACGACTTTCGGCAAAATAGAAGAGCTGTTAAACAAACAAATAGAGTTAACAAATACCCTCCTTAATATGATGTCGTTACTAATCTCAAAATTATGCAATTAAACCTGCGAATAGCGATATGGAATGCCAATGGGCTTCCAAATCATACAAGAGAAGTTGAAATCTTCCTTAAAATTAACTATATTGATGTGTTTCTCATTTCCGAAACACACTTTACAAGTCGTTCATATTTTAATATTAGTGGTTACGACCTAATAAAAACTAATCATCCTGACAACAGCGCTCATGTTGGATCTTGTATATTGGTGAAGAATACAATTAAATATGAAACACTAGATGAAGTAAAAGAAAATTTTGTTCAAGCTACATGCATAAAAGTTAAAAGTAATGATGGAGACATAGTTATCTCATCAATCTATTTTCCACCTCGACATCAAGTTTTATACCGGCAATATGTCGATTTTTTCAATAAGATGGGACACAAATTCATTGTTGGAGGTGATTACAGATTATCAGTACTTTCATCTGGTTCACCAACGTCTTGGCCATCCGATCCAGGTAAAATTCCTGATCTTCTAGATTTTGCTGTTTATCGTGGTATTCCATATACCAGTTTAGACATATCAAACGTGGACGACCTGAGCTCGGATCACATACCAATGTTGATAAACATTTCTTTGTCTATTCGATATACACATTTAAAAAATAAACTGATAACCCCCGAAACTGACCTACGGACTTTTAGAACGAGTATTGATCGCAAAATAAGTCTAAATATAAGTTTAAAAACTAAATGTGAAATAGATAATGTTATAGATCATCTCACGAAAACAATTCATGAGTCTGCTTCTCTGGCAACCCCCACAATTTCGAACATTCCGAGAGACAATTTGAAATTATCATTCGAAATAAGGCAACTAATAAGTGATAAAAGAAGCCTTCGAAAAATCTGGCAAGCAAGTAGACAACCCACCGATCGTATACGGTTCTATAGAGCATGCAGACTGTTGAAAAAAGTTCTTTCTGATTATAAGAATGACGCCACAGCTAACTTTCTAGAAGCGATAAATAATTCAAAATATGATGAACACTTATTGTGGAAATCTACTAAATATTTGAAAAGACCCGTCAAGAAAAATTTCGTAATCAAGAACGCTGACGGAACATGGTGTAAATCATCTAAAAGCATAGCAGATCCTTTTGCAACTCATCTTACAGAAATTTTTCAACCCTTCGATTTCGTTAATAGAGAAGATTATAATGAAACATGTCAATATTTGGATTCAGCTTGTCAAATGGATCGGCCAATTAAACACATATCATTGAATGAAGTAGCAGATGAAATTAAAAGCTTAAAAACAGGAAAATCACCAGGGCATGATTTGATAGATGCTAATGCCATTAAAAATCTTTCCCGCAAATGCTTAATTTTTCTAACCAATATATTTAACGCGATCTTGCGATTGGACCACTTTCCAACAAATTGGAAAACCGCCGAGGTAATTATGATTCCGAAACAAGGTAACATCCTGTCCTCATTCCGGCCGATTTCACATTTACCAATATTCTCGAAAATATTTGAGCGAATTTTTAAAAAAAGATTGCTACCGCTGTTGAAAAATAAAAATATTATTCCCAATCACCAATTCGGTTCTAGAGAAAAACACGGCACTCCTGAACAATGCCACGGGATCATCAACACCATAATAGACACTCTAGAAACTAAAAAATATTGTTCGGCTGTTTTTCTAGATGTCCAGCA